AACTGTTTAAAAGCCACAGTCATTTAAATGAGGCCAAATGAAGGCCGTCTATCCCAGGCTCATTGCYTGCAGCACATTAAAGTCCAGGGATTTGGGCGAAAAGAGGCTGAAGTCATTGATTTCAGCGAGGTCCTCCGTGCCATTGTAGCCATGAAAAAATCACCACAATTAAAGTGTTTGATTAGAGTAATTAACCAGCTCTGAGCAGCCACAGATTCCCCCCATTAACTCACGGTCTAGAAAAAATGAATAGTCATGGCCTCGAGACCGTCCTTATGGTAATAGACATTGATTTGGGCAGAAGTGCCGATGTGTGAGGCATGCTTGTTCTCATTCGAACAGCTAGTGATGGGTCTGTGTTTGATGTCTGAAGAGGTTTTCTTTTTTTTTTCTCCCCAAGTCATCCCCAGGCAGMGCTGGAGAACTCTGCAGGTGAGGCTGAACGGTGCAGAGAACACAAACCTGAACACCCCCACATTTCTATTTTATGGACAGAATTAAAACGACCTACTGAGGGCCACAATGAAAGAGTTTAACTCTCAAGTGGAGAGCACTCTAAATTRATGCTATCCACCATAGATTTCCAGGTTAGATAACAGTTACTGGACAGAGCCGACAAGAATCGCAGCAAAGAAAAAAAAATCACTGTTCTTTGTTTGAAAAGCGCTACTCTTCACCAAGCTGTTCAATGATTACTCGTTTTCTCTAATACTTTTCATAACAAAAGACTTTGCAACTGTTTTGTCTTGCATTGACTTTCTGCAGTGTCTTGGATTGTTTCTGAGGCGATTCCTCAGTCCTCTAGGTCTGGTTGATCTTTTTATGATGTTGGCTTTGGTATTTAAGAAACCTCCACGAGAGGAAAGAGTTATTTGCTGGAGCATCAAAGCCTCTGAAAGCAGTTCCATTTTTTAGWCCTAGGCTTTTCACTATTCGGTTTTTGCAATTCAAAAGTGATTCCTCAGACTTTTAGCTCTCAGCTATGTCAAWATATAACCACCCGTCTGAATTCTTTCTTTATAATTATTCACTTATACGTACCATCCTGTATGCATACTGTATGTACAAATTTGGTGCTTTTATTTGCTAAAACTGACATCCATTCATAAGTGATTCAATCTCATTATTGRCTTTGTGAAGCTGCAAGACAAAGAACCACTTCCCATTATTGAAAAAAACAAAATCTATTTGGAATTCTGTTTAATGCATCCATGTAACTCAGCAGATATTTGTTATGGATGAAAAATGAGCTTGCTGCTATTGTGAAGCCCACATATGTGTAAGTTTAAATGTTTAAATTGAGACCAAAAAGAGAGCTCATTAAAGCACTGAGGAAAAGGCTCGTACACAACAGGACTTCAAACCGTGCACAGTCATTATGCTACAATTAGTGTGGAAAAACACCCTCCGAACAGGACTTACATCCTGGCATTCAAAGAGCTGATGACCCCAAACTTATGTTTTGATATCCAAAGCTCCTTTTAAAGTGCAGCCGATGCACTGTTCAACACATTCAGTCAAAACAAAGGCATATTTTCAGTTTTTTWAAAACACGCTGTTTCAGTGAAGCAGCATTTTATCCAGGAGCTTCTCAYAAAGATTATATCGTGCTCCTTCTGGACAAATGTCAAGCACAAATGGCCTATTACATGCAACCTCGAGCCCATTTAATATACTTAAAATAGTTATATACCCTGCAGCAGCAGAGCGTTCGTTGCACAAATGAACGGGAGAGGCTGCCAGGCTTTGGATTGTTAAATGAACAAGCTCCTTTAATCGCAGAGCCAGTTTAATTGGCTCCCATGGTGAGGCCATCACTCGTGGCAGACCATTTATCCTCGTCTTCTCACACGAGACGAGCGCAGCCTGTTGAAACTGGAGGACAAGGCAAAGAAGGAAAAGAGGCGTGGCTTCCAACGCAAGGACCTGCATCAGGATCCATACTGTTGTGGGAGCACACTGGTTTAAAGCATCTGACAACAGTGTCCAGTTAGCTGGCATCGTTCCTATCCATCGCAGTGTTTCATCCCTCRCTCTATCCTTTAATCCCCCMTCCATGCTTTCATTTAAAGAGGGACATTAGAAATGGAAGAGGCAGTGGTACTTGTGCCGAGCCAAGCTGGCAAATGTGATTCCCTTCCTATTACAGCTTAACAGGATGAGCTGAGTCCGTCCAGAACTCGAGCACTCAGCTGAGCAGTTCAGAMCTTCGTGTGTGACTGTGAGCTGGTCTGTGGGGGTGTCTGGTCTTCTTGTATTCTGTCATCATTAGCCAAGCTGCTTCCTGCCGCTGCAATGTTTCACCAGACATCATGGCTCTTTTACATCGCTCCCGGCCAGAAACAGAGTGGACCTTGACAAATGGGAAAATTGCAACCATCCCTCCCCCTTCATTGTTTTTATTTTGTCCTTTATCCTGCTTACAGCTGCATCAATCTGCAGCAGCTCAAATATTACCAGGCAGTCCTAATGAGGGCCTGCTGTCTGACAAGAGAAGTTATGTTCAGGGAAGGAGGGACGAGTGGCAAAACGAGAGGACAACAATACAGCATCGTCTTCTTTCTAAAACTTTTCATGGCTGCATCTACTCCYCAAAAACATCTTTAATTAGCTTGAATTTTATTCAATTAAGCCCTCCCTGAATATGCTGAGGATTAAGCAGCATTCCATAAAGGACAAATGTGATGTGAGTGAAATGTCAGGAAGGTATCAGAGGAGAAAAATTTAGTATGAAGCTTTCTTTATTATAACAAGATCACTGGCTCAACATTAATATGATGTTTGTCAGTCTGGAGTGTAACTTCCATTTGTGGTTCTTTCAAGCAGCAGTCTGTATGTGTGTGTGTTTGTGTGTACATGTTTTTGCTACCTGATGGAGAGTTTTTTTCCCGATACACAAAGCCTGTTGAGGACCCACTGTTTCTTATTGGGACAAAAGCCCGGTCTTCATATGGGTCATGCTCAGACTAGCCTTTGGCTCATCAGTCAGTCAGAAGGAAACAAAATTTCTCCAAATTGAGGTTGTTCAAAGACCTATCTAAACAAGCAAGATGATCATATTTCACTTCAAAATGGCTGGAACAGCTCTTTAACTATTGGTTATTAAAGATGAGGTCAGCAGCAGAAGGTAAAGTCTTGGCAGCACTTCTGCTCTGAAAATGACCACGATTTGTTGCTCCCAGTTGTTCAGAAGAAGAGACATTTATCAGGAGATACTTCAACATTTTTATTCCTTATTTTCAGACCTCTTTATAGCTTCTTTTCCAGCACAAGAGTGGAACAGAATCCCCTGACAAGAACCAGTCAGCTCACCAAAACCCAAAATGTTCCGCACCATTTTCTTACAAAACCACTGTTTACTCCACAGCAATGGTTTGCTCCTGTTTTTCTTCCACTGAAAAGATGAAAATGTCTTTTGGCAGGTAACAGATTCTGAATTTAATATTTTGGTGCTGCTTGTAAACTCAGCAGCTGTAAAGGAATATACTTGTCAATGTCAGATTCTGTGCTGCAGCTTCCACTGCCTGTATTCTAATAACTGAGATGTGAAGGAGAGAGAAAAACAATTTTCTGAATACAGAAATGTTTTTTTTAGAATTTGTAATGTCAGAAATAAACTGAACATATACAACAAAACAACAGTGCTCTCATAGAYATGCAATAATGTGCACAGTGACAATAATATTAAAGAAATAATATATAAATATATAAACCTTTTAGTATTTCATGACAAATTAAAAACAAAAGTGGTTAAAATCAAGATCTGTACTTTTCCTATTACTTTTTTAGGAGTTCATTGAGTTTGTTTTTAGATTTATCCTCTTCGTCCAGATATATGTGTTTCTTTGCAAAGAGAATACACATAAAATAATTTTGTCCTCATTTACTCTAATTGTGCATCTTTCAATAGCACATGCAGTGACTTGTTAATCAACGGTGGTGGCTCCTGGGGTGGTCCATCAAGTTCTAGGAGGGGCAAGTGGCACCTCGGCCACCCCTCTGGSTCCACCCCTGATAGTAAATAGCAATAGACAGGTTTTAATTTGCAAAAAGACAGAATTACAGAAACTAATTAGTGAAGGGTTTGAGCTGCAAGCAATGACTTTATTGCAAATGTTTTAACACATTCAAAAGTCAAGGCTCAAGGTTGAAAGGCCCTGCAACTCATCCAAGGAAAATGAGAACTCCCACTAAAGTTTCGAGATATTTTTGGAGACTCCCTTCTTGTTGCTGATAGTTTGCAGCCCAGTCAGAAGCAGATTCAAGAAAAACATCTGATTGGATTTGTCCATTAAAGTAATGTGATTTTGATCTTTGTATAATCTATAACACCCTCTTCTCAAATCATTTCTCTGCTGTCTGGAACCCATCATTTTAAATCGTACATCTAAAAGTGTCCACATTTTAATCCTCTCTAATGTTTCAGGTATTACAGATGTTACAGTGGACACACTGCTTCTAGTCCGTGTCTGTTAAGCTTTTGATAAAACGACCTCTAGAAACAAAGACAGTAGCACTCTGTCAACATTTTCATCTGAATTTATGGACATCATATGCTACTTCGTTAATAAACATTGCTGGGTGTTTATAGCTAGTTAGCTTGTGTTCACAAATCCAACGCTCAGCGCTGTGCATAAATACTGACTGGTTTTGACCATAAATATTGTTCTGTTTGCAAATACTGACTGGCATTACACACTTACACATTCATAAACACAGACTGTGGATTAAAACAGGATTGATCAACCCAACTGCTCATATTGAAGTGTAGGTTTGACAGAGAAAATGATAAATATTTGAAAACTATAAGTTAAAGATGAAACAGGTAGCAAATCTCCGAACAATTTTTTGACTGTTCTTCCTCTAGAACTGATTCTGGCCCCATTTCTGGACCAGCATTGGAAGTGCTTTGCTCAAAATGAACTTTTCTATATGACGTCTTTTAGTCTCACTAAAACAACAGATTTTAAAATAAAGTAAATCGTGACACAGCTACTCACCCCTGCTCCTCCATCATCTCTTGGAGCTCCATACATTTAAGCTCCACCCTCCTCTTCCTCTCGTGGTCCAGAATCTCTCGGTGAGGCTTCTTCACCAGGACAGGTTCTACTTTAGGCTCCTCGTCCTCCTCGGCGCGGGACTGTCCCTCGTCACTTTTAGCTTGTGGCACCGCGGTGGGTGTTGGCCCTGCCGTTCCTGCAGCTGTTCCGGGTTCGGCTCCGGGGACCGCCGGTTGGACCACAGCATTTGCACCATCCTTAGGAGAAGGCACCCTCGTTGCATCGTACATGATTAGTGAAATCTGTGGAGACACAGGCAAAGGAGAGAACAAACGTTAGCAAGGAGAAGGCAGAAAGTGACTGATGAGGGAACACTCACCTCACAATGATGATCGAATGTTAAATATTTCTGTAAAACTTATTTTAGAGGCGTTTACTGATTTACAACAACTAGTTTGAACCAGGCGTGAGGCAGAACTGTTTCCAGACTGAAAGGTGAGTGGGTTGTGGTTTGATGCTAATATTTCTGGAGAGGCCGCAACATTCCTGCTTGAACTGAGCAGTGCACTTTGCAAACATTCAAACACATCAACATACTTGATGCACAGAAATAAGCATCCAGAGAGAGCACTGRCAGCAGCTCCTGCTCCGTGAGTCAGGAGCCCTGAAAGTGCCTAAAGGCAAGTCAGGATGGAGAGCCAGTGATTCCTCTCGAATCTATTGGAGCGTGGTGAAAGTGTTAACCACAAGGGTCAGAAACTCTACACATGAAGCATGCGGAGGAGGTGGGGGGACAAYGATGGTGTAAAAACACCAAATCTGTGGTTGACAAAGAAAAATGAGCTGATTTACCTCTAACATAGATRCTTGTGGCTCTTTTAAACCCAAAACAATGAGGATATCATTCTGTTGTCTTCTGTTAGAAGGCCTGAGAGGACTCTGATCAAAAGAATTGTTCTTTTCAGATATAGTTTCTTTTTGGATAAATCATATACAGTAGTTAGAGTTGGCTTGGTTTTCCTGAGCTGTTCCTTAGTTCTGCTACTATAGGCTTATGGTGTTTTTGCATTGCAAGGTTTGTATGATGCCATTTTTTGTATACTATTATTGTTCTTTTTTTGATCAAAAACAAGTAAAAATAGAGGCTGAGAAAGCTGCACTGCTAGAAGAAACAAAGCAGAAAGATACATGAGAGCAGGGACGACTAGTACAAGTGGGCTAGTAGAGCTAAGCCMTGGTGTTTACAATAAAAATGTTAAAATACCTGATAAACACTAATAAAAAACTATCACATTTTGTGAAATTTACAACAAAACTGGTGTCAAACCGTTTTGAAAAAAATCCCAGTCTTTCCAAAGAGCTAACTTTTCASAGCCCCGCTCAATGATTGTGTTTGTGGTACAGGATGATTGACAGACGTCTTGCCACGCCYCCTCGGTTTGCCCCTCATTAGGGCTAATTTTGTTCAGAACAGGGTCAGTCGAAGGCTGCATGCTTTAGTCAGTCAGAGTGGATGTATAATAACGAGTGYGTGTGGGTGTGGTCTGGTGTAGACTGAGTGAGCATAAATCATGGTAACATAAACGAGGTGGATTAATTCATTTCTCACCTGTTTTCCTGGCAAKTATAGCTGAYAAATCTATTTCCTGCCTAAAATTATAGTTAAAACACTTCATGCAGGGGAATTAAGTATTGGACAACTGATTACTCTGTAAGCTTGRTTTTTGGTGGTGGTTTGTTTTACGATTGTCTTTGTGCTGAAAMGTGACAATGTCAGTTTATAACAGATTCTCTTTTTATCAAATTGGATGCCTCTGTTGTTGGAATCCAATCTGCAGCTTTTTATTATATCAAATATTATATATCTGTTAGCCCAAACTACAAATACTCCAAACTGCCGTCACAGCACAAGTGTGTACGATGCAGCATTATGCTAGGTAATGTTAGCTTGCTTACAGACGTTTGAAGTTKCGTGAACAACCAGCCAGTAAACCAATCTATGGCCAACTTCAAATTGGGCCCAGCAGCCCAGCCCAAATAGAAATCCAGGTCTCTCAGTTCCAGAAATCAGGCTGGAAGTCGGCCATAACAGCTGATGCAAATAYGCAGGACCTGGCTTTGAACCCATGCAGGCCAGGCTGGGCCTTTCAATGCAAAAAACCCCATTAGACTGCTGACTTGACTCACTCTACTGTCCACGCTTGTATTTGTAATTATTCCTGCCGTTTACATGTATTTTTCTTAGTTCTTCCCACAGAAATGACACCTGAACCAAACCTTTGTCCATGTCTCGTTCCTGTCCTCTCAAACCCCAGGTAGTCAAGGGAGATTTGGGTTCTGCTGAAGGATTCGTTGTTAAATTAGAGTCACTCCTTTATAACAAAGTAAATTGTCAGTGTAATCTGTTAGTTTCCTTAGACGACTTTTACTAAATAGCATGTTACATGTATTGTACTATAATTAGAATAAATTCACCATGATTTGGACCTTTTTATTTGTTTTTGTACAGTGCCCTGAAATGATTTTTGTTTGTGAATTGGCACTATTTTGATCTGAACTGATCTGAGCGTCAGATGACCAGAATCACTACCCAGCTGTTGGCTTTATTTGTCCCAGAGAAGTAAAAAAAAAAAAAAGACAAGCTGATGCACTTTATCAGTGTCAAAAGCAGAAAAGCAACGACATGATAAAAAGCTGCAGCTGGATGGACTGAGCTTCAGAAATACATCTCATCCCCACTTCTTTCATCTACTCACTGAGAGCAGCTTGTGGTGTAGAGTCAGGCAGTTGTGTGCATCTGAGCTGCTTCTGGTGCTCTTTGATTGGTTAATGGGGATGTATTTGTGTTTTGAAGTGCTGCGCCCTGGTAAACGAGCCATGGATGTGTGTGCAGCGACGCCGCTCCCGGCTGACAGAACAGGTGGCGGGACAGCAGGAGGCATCGTCTCTGAATCTATAATACAGTAAATCAGCACTTTATAGCCCATGACAGCGACCTCTCATGTGCACACGCTCGTCTGCAAAAGACTGCGGAGAGGAGATCTCTCATCTATCAGACGGGACATTAGAAAGATATTCAGGTCGACCATAGTACAGTGAAAGAGTCTCTGCTGGAGGCTGGGTTAAAGAAACAAAGAGGAAGTGATGCTCTGATCAAAGATAAATTCAGGAATACAATAAACAAGAATGTGTTACTGAGAGCAGCTGTGTTTATGCTGAAAATTTGTGTGATAATGATCTGAATGTGGAGAAACACTTCAGTGCTTGGGAATAACCCACAATTTCAGAAATAAGAAGACTATCCCCCCTTTCCTACTATATAGGCAAAACAATGCATTTATGCTTGTCAAAAATTGGATAGAAAGGGACTAWATACTGTAAGTACAGTCCATTTACCATTTACTCATACATTCCCAAGTACAATACTCTAAACTTTAAAAAGTTTACCTGAAGAAAAATAAAAAAACATACACTGGCATTAGTTTGCTGTGGAAGCTTTCTGTCTTCCACATTGTTTAAAAGCTTAAGGCAGGCCCGGTTAGCTCTGGACYTTGCAGCTGAAAGAAGAAGGTGGGGGGAACCACAAATAATTGCATTTGTGCTGGACATCATGTCTTGGCCTGCTGGACTGCCGCAAGTAACACTCCCAACAGATTTCCTCACACGCGCCCATCGAACCGAAAAGGAAGGCTTCGCTTTAATGAGCTCAAATAAAATGAAGTTATCATCTGAATACTGGAAGGAAGTTCTCTGTAACAACAGCTGTGGGCTCGGTGCCGGTGTGTCAAAAGCACGCCGTTGAACTCAAGCTGCCTCATTATATAACCCACATTCATTCCCTTTGTTCACAGGAAGCAGGAGGGGCCCAAAAATATGACTCCTTTAAAGTCAAAACAACTAAGCCATTTAATTTTGCGATGAAAAAGGAAACGAAGCCGGAAAGCAGCGGAAGTCACAGCGAATTGTGTTCGAGTCCTCTGCAGGGACTGAAGGGTATCTCCAGCTGCTGCATTAATGCTGCCACCAAACTCTATCGATGATATAAAGACGTGGCAGGTAGGACCACAACAGCCTGAGCAGCATGCTGACGATCTTCCCACAACCACTACAGAGTGAGGGACACTACACTTGACTAGAACTGGGCCGACRTAAACAGAATAAAGTGAGACTTGACAATGGAGAAGGGGGTTAGGTGCAGTTTGGGTAAACAGTGATTGGCTGGATTTACTATTTTGGTGAGGTTTGAAGAAGTCATAATGTTTCAGTTGGATGATCGCTGGCCAGCTGAGGCAGAAACGTTAATTTGGACAGGTAATTTTGTATATGAATATTAATTTTAGTTATAACGTAAAGACAGTAAGGTGTTACCCAATAGACGGCCAATAAATCACATTTACATGTTCATAATAATTTTACTAATTACCATTATACATCACATCTTTAAACTTCTCTCACAAGTCAATCTGTCCAATTACGCCTTACACAAATTACACCCACACCTAAGAAACTTCTACTTAGCGACTGCACAGACCCCCTTCCAGTGTTGTATAAAGTACCTCAAAGTGATACTTGAGTAAAAGTACAAGTATCTTATCATAAAAATACTTTGGTARAAGTTAAAGTCATCTCTAAAAATATTACTTGAGTAAAAGTCTTAAAGTATCTGATATTTTTGTACTTAGTATCAAAAGTAAATTTCTAACACAAAATCTACTTAAGTATTAAAAGTAAAAGTGAGCAGTTAGATTTTCCAAAATGACATTTATTGGGAGGTGACTTCTCCAAAAATATATATTTTCTAACGGCGTGCAGCTGTGATGGGTTGTGTTCAAGCTAATAGTGTGTCAGAATGGTATATATTTATACTTCTCATCCAACCACAATTAAATTCACTCTATCCAGGAGACACAATTTATCAGGATAGTTTTTAAGTAATAACTCAGAGTAAAATAGGAGTAACGACTTTCTACTTCTTCCCTTTTTAAAAAATGTAGTGAGTAGAAAGTACAGATAATTGTGTAAAAATGTAATGAGTAAAAGTAAAAAGTACGCTGAAAAATAATTACTCAAGTAAAGTACAGATAACCAAAATTTATACTTAAGTACAGTAACAAAGTATTTGTACTTAGTTACTTTACAACTCTGCCCCCCTTCTCATTTTTGTTGTAAATATATAAAAATAATCTCATAGCGACTCTTGTTCCTGTGCCTCTGCCTACGTTACACTCCAAACACGGAGAATAAAACCCCAGCAGGAGCGCTGGGTGTCACGGTGCCCATCTTCACTACGTGTTCAAGGTTC